CCGCAACAGTTTGTAATTAAAGTTTGATTGAAAAATTTGTACCGATTTCTTTAAAGCATCTTTGAAAAGATTAGACGGAAGTTCTCTATTTAATTTTATTTTGCGAAATTTTCCTAAATTTTGTCTTCCAAAGAATTGATGTGTTTGGATTTAACTTTATAATTTCATAGGATCTCATTCTGGTAGTTTTCATGTGATACGTTAATGAAAACAATTTGCCATTGTTGTGTGCGATACGTCGAAGATTGCAGACGATGCAATCCAAATACATTGAACTTGGTTTGGTTCAATCGATCTGACCGATTAAGGAAGTTGTAAGCTTTCTAGAAGTTGTGAAGCTTTTACGTGGTTACATAAATGAACGCAAGATAATGGTTTCACAATATGCTCGTATGTAATAGCTTTTACCCGCTGCTATGTGTGGCTGGTATTAAATAATAAAAGTGTTATATATAACCTATTTTATCACTACATAGTATAAAACAAAGACGTCCCGGTGTCTGTCCCTATGTATGCTTAGATCTTTAAAACTACGCAACGGATCTTGATGCGGTTTTTTTTACTAGATAGAGTGATTCAAGAGGAAGGTTTATATATACAGCGTATCGTTACCATCGCGACAATAAATGAACAACACACGTCTATCGCGACTTGCCAATAATCATAAAAAAATATTAACGTTAAACTAAATCCCTAATTAAAAAAAAATTCAAACAAACTAATTAAGTAAAAAAGAAACAAAATTTGTAACATCCTATACAACTCGCGCCACAGCGTCGCATTACAAGCCTCTCCTTCTAACAGTATGTTTTGTCTCTTTTAAATTCATTCAACCCATTCATATTATGCTTTGTGACCTTTAGAAATGAACTTTACGTTTTTTTTTTATGTGAGAAAGTGGCAAACGAGCTGACGGTTCACCTGATGTTAAGTGATAACCGCCGCCCATGAACAGTTGCAACATCGGTAGGGTTGCAAACGCGTTGCCACCTTTTAATAAAGTGGGCCCCGGCTACCTCACTCACCAGACGAAACGCAGAAGTGTAACACTTCTACTTTACGCCGGTCTTCTGTGAGGTCTTGGTACTTACCCGGACGGACCTGCCCATTCGTGCAACAGTGAACACTGTTGCGTGGCCCTACCACCGTTATAGTTTTATACGTAGGGGTGTTCTAAAATTCTTTGTTTTGTAAAATTTGATAACTCGGTAAATATTGATGTTTAAAGAATGTAAATCTTTAATAAAATTTTAAAATGTTATCCTCTATATGTGTGTTCATTTATTGTCGCCATTATAAAGACTCGCTGTATAATACATTGCACCCGTGCGAAGCCGGGGCGGGTAGCTAGTTGAGTACAAACGCTTGTTCAGGGAGGTATTTGTATATGTATTTAATGTGGAAGAGGTGGAATAATAAGTCCCGACGACCATAGCGACCTAAAAAAATATATTGTATTCTTCCTCTTTCCCTCCGAAAACATTGCCGCTGTAGGATAACATTATCCTGAGGACTTAACACAGAGATTCAAAACAGTTATTTGTGGCTCATACAAATGCTTAAAGTCTTTTTTTTTTTAAAAAACATTTCCCCCACTTTAGAACAACGTTATATTGTGTTGTAAGGACGCTTTACAAATATAAAATTCACGTGGACGAACACCCAGATGCGGAACAACTATCTGTGGGTCACAAAAAAATGTTGTCTCGTGTCGGAATCGAACTCACGACTCCCGGCGTCGAAATCGACACCTTGGCAACTGCGCCACGGAGTCATCACAGTGTGGCATGCAGCAGACTCTACCGTTGTACGCATGAGCATGTTCGCCACAGCTCCCGAAAGACCAGCGTGGAATAGTTTCATCGTCATCATTTCAGCCTGTTTGAGTCCACTGCTGAACATAGGCCTCCCCCACAGACTGCCACGAAGCACGATCCTGAGCCACCTGCATCCATCGACTTCCCGCATACTTGCACAGGTCGTCACTCCATCTAGTGGGGGGTCGTACCACACTGCGATGGCAAGTTCAATCGCGAACTTTGCGAAGCGTTGTAACCCTTTTGAGGTGTTTTCAATAAAGAATAAATAAATAAGAAATAAATAAATGGTATAGCGTGAGTATTTGTACCCAGATAGACGAAATACCATTTAGTCTCGTGCGTGATGTACTTTACTATCTACTCCGGTTGGCCCATTCCCACCTCATTACTGAACTTTCCAGTGAGGTTACCCTAACACTCGCGAGAGTAACTGTCCGTGCAGAAAAGACACAATAAAAAAGAGAGAGAAAAAAGAAATTTAAAAATATGATTGAAGGCGGGAAAGTTAGTATGAAGAATCCATCGGCTTTATTTATCATATTAACGACACAGTCTAAATGGACTGAAATACGAAATAAATATTTTAAATATGTATACATTGAAACTAAAATATACAGTTAACATCTAACTATACCGAATTTATTCTTCAAATTATAAAACGAGATATTCATTACGAAACACATTAAAAAGATAGAAATTATCCATTGCTCAATCAGCGTAATTTAAGCTCCGTTGTAAATAAAGAACAATATAGTAGGACCACGAATTTAGAAACATTTGTTGCGTCTTTCATCTTATTTGATTGTAACTAACATTTTTGTAGGTTACACGCAATAAGATTATCTAATCTAATGTCGATGCATTCGATTCGAGTTTACAGCAAGTGTATTCGAGTTAGTAGCAAGCGTACTCAAGTTTAGCCGCTTCGACACCACGGACAAGCCCTTCCGGGTAAGGCTGAAGGTAAAATGTTCCAACGCAAGGAGTTACAAGTAACTGCCGAGAGCTGAAACGAACCATGTTTTATTAAAACAGCGCCGAGGCGTATGCGTGTAGCATTAAATGCTACGAACAATAGCTAAGGGCACAGAGTAATGAGAGGACAGAGACTTTCTACATTATTTTTATTAGTCTTGATAGTTCTAAACCCGGCTGGTCGCTTTACTAGTGCAATAACTTCTATTTTATTATTGCTTATTTTTGCAAATTTTCAGTACAATTTTTCATACTAATGAAAAATACACACACGCTCAGTGAAGGAAAATGTCACTAGAAAACGTTCATCATTGTACGAAATTAAAAAAGTGGTCACTTCGCGGATTATACACTTATATCTGTTGAAGATCTTTGTACAGTAGAGGGTGATGTCGTATATATTACTTATTTTGGGTGTCAAGTATAAATTATTTATTACACAGTTAAATTACACAGCTCTCTTTATAGGCCATTGAGCTCATTCTATCTGGAAGTTGTTTATTATTTAAAGATTGATCCATATCTAAAGTTAGCATAAATACTAAATTTTGTTTTAATTTGTTTCAAACTAGTTTGGGGCAGTATATGTGTGAATTTAGTTAGGTTTAAATAGTTGAAAATAGAATTATGTGATATTTAATCACCATTTTATGTCATCAAATAAACCGAAACTCCTTTGAGAACACAAAACATTTTTTCTCTTTTAATTCTTAATTATCTTAGTGACGTGATTTATTATCCGACTTGGATGCGTCTACATTTTTATTATCTGTGCTCCGGTATGTCACACCAGGTGTAGCAACTGTTCTTTATCCTAGTAAAAGTGTTACCAGCACTGCGTTCGGAATACGTAAGGAGACCGCGCCCAACACATTGATGATTGAACTATTCCCATTAAATACATTTAATAAAAAGGCATGAATTGATAGATCACCGCGTTCTTTTGCGTTTATTTTGCTCCGTTGTAAAATTAAAAAAAAAAAAAAAAAAAACAAGAAGATGGCAAGAATTGGCATTGAAAAAATATTAAATAGTAAGTAAATTTACATTTTACATCTTTACAACAGGTTAATGCACGATTAAATTCGTTTTGGTTAACAAACACCACAGTGTTATAGTTAGAATTCAATACAGAAAAGATGCGTTGCGAATTCAATACGATTCGATGTCTTTTATAGTAAAGGTTTTCTATAAATTATCAATGGGGGACAATCAAAAGATTCCTTAAGATGTAAAAATATAATCATTTTTTATGAAACCACGAAACCACGAAGGCTTTTAAAGTATTAGAAACACTTTTTTTTCTGTATGTAATATAAAATACACCCAATATGTAACTATGCATATAATTGTATAACATATGACAACGTTTCTATACATTTATGCCTGTAAATTTATTTTTTACTTATATAGAAATCAAAATTTGGTGTTTCCATTCCTATATTTATTAAATTTCATAGATTTTTAATTTGGTAAGTGATTTATGTTTGATACATAAATGTTTTTTTTTGATACATAGTGTTGAAATGTTTTGTATAACTTTAAGTGAAATACATACTTGTATAATATAATTCTGTTGGTAACTGCAAATTTTTGTTATTAATGTTCTGTATGTGTTTAGTCGGTAAGCTTAAATAAATAAAGACTGACATCACAGCATGTTTTTCTGTTCAAAGTAGACACGCTCTATAAAATACTCTCTGGATTCTAACTGACCTGTGCACTTACTGTAACTCCGCGCGTTTACGACAAGGAAACATTCTCCTATCAAAGTCTGAGGTTTATCGGGTCCACGGCCAGCCTGGCTTGGGCCCCACAGACCTAATCAGTACTTTGAGTATAAAATACAATGGCAAAGCTTCTTTATTACCGTACGATTTATTGTCTATTAATTTCCACGGATCCGCTTTAAGGCAGACGGAACGACTTTGAGTCTTTATGTTTATTTGAGCAGTTTTTTTTACGAAAACATTAACTATATTCTTCTTTCGTTTCTTCGGGACCTTACCAACTTGTCCTTTTTGCTCATACTAATAATGCGTAAACAATTATTCCTTTTTTAATGAAATAAATAAATATGCATTTATTTAAACCTCTAGATCTAATAGGCCAATATCTAAAAGAGCCACATAAATGGACCTGTTTACTAATATTATAATGTCTTTGAAAGTTAAATAACTAAATAACAAACTCATAAGAACTCACCTAGTAGACTCAAACTGGCGATCCAGCTCGCCTGCTGGTCGCTGACGGTGAAGGAGGCGTTCTGGTGCTCCAACTCTTGCATGGAGGCGATGGCAGGGGACATGTAGCCTTTGCTGAGGCCCGCGGCGAATGGGCCAAGGGACACTGCGAGGGCGGCAAGGATCTACAAGTAGAAGAAAATTATACTAATATAATCTTTCTGCTGTCTATCTACTGTGGTAGAGCCAGCCAAATTGTGCTGTTGCACGAATGGGCGGGCTCGTTCGGGAAAGTTCCTCGGTCTCAGAAGACCGTCGTGAAATCACGCAATATCAATAGAAAAACGCCTGACCTTTTTTGAATCATTTTGTACTTATCGATGTTTGCATAACAGACGTCACTACATAGTATAAAACAATTTCATCCCGCTGTCTGTTTGTTCCTATGTATGCTTAGATCTTTAAAACTACGCAATGGATCTCGATGCGGTTTTTTTTTTTACTAGCTAGCTTAGCAAGATTGATTCAAGAGGAATGATTATAATTTTGTATAATACATTGCACCCGTGCGAAACTCAGGCGGGTCGCTAGTACATTATAAATGAAACTCCTATCTGACAATGAATTTGGATGATTTACAGCTCAAAGTGTTACCCTCATAAGTCTCTCTATCTGAGGTACTATCAAATCAGTATGACTTGCACAGTTTTCCGTCTTGGACTTCTGATTTGTAGAAACCACCATTTTTGTTTAGTCTACAACGACAGGCTCATCGTCTCTAGCATTAGAGAGATAATATGCTTTGTCTCTACATCCTTGATATCGGGGAGAAGTCGGAATAAAAATGTTGAACGTATGTTTAATGGTCCCAAGAAGGCCGTTATATATATATATAATCCACACAAGCCAGGTCACAAAGTACGTTAAATACCGTTGGCTTCGCTCGCCCGTGTCCAGCTACGGACAATGGGCAATACGTTCGCGGATTCTTCACGCTGCTCTTACCGAATCGTGCCGGCCGTTAAAGAAACATTGTGTGTACGAACGGAACGTAAATATTCTGATGCAATGATTAGCTGTCAAGCTATCTGTCTGGTGAGTGAGGTAGCCGGGGCTCACTATATTAAAAGGTGGCAACGCCTTAGTACCCTTCGGGTATTGCAGATGCGTTGCCTAGATGGCTTACGTGCGATTCACAAACGGGACAAGTATCGTGTGACGGATAATTGTTCTGATCAGGGTGTCTGTCCCCAAGTTTGGTGTTGAAAGTGGGATGGTTGGGTTGACATCTGACAGGTGGCCGGTCGTAAAAAAACTAGCCAATACTCTTAACAACACTTCACATGGTGTGCCAATACCATTGAGGATAGATAAGGGCAGGAGGTGATGGTACATCAAATATAGGTCATATTTTTCATCCAGGACAGAGATGTCTGATCTTCAGGAATGACGGACCACGGAGGACACCAATTCATAACCCATGGATTTTTTGAATTGTTACCCACAAATATTATTATGTCTTATTGCCCTGCCTGTGTTTCTATGCTTTCCTCCAGCACTGATTTACTCTGCCCCCGCTTGGGAAACAATAATTAACAATGATATAATCTAACATATCAAAAACAATAAAAGTTAGTGTATCTTATTAACCACTCGTTCTAATTTTCAATGCCTGATAGTGCCATCAATAAGGTACATTTTGACGGTTTCATCATTTATATAATCGCGATAATCGTCGCGTCTTCTTCTTTCTCCTGCTCTTGTCTCACACTAGGTTCGGCACATTCTCTTCTACGTTCCTCTATCAGCCATCATCTCATCCAATCCAATCCACCCAATCTCACGGACATATCATTCGTCACACAGTCGCGTGATGTTTCGAAATGACTTTATAGTATCAAATTGTTTATAAAATTGGATCAGCTAGGTTCTAATCATGGAAACAATTTGTAAAAGACTTGAACGAGTATTTGTTCCAATCTTACAACAAATGCTACGTCGTTTATATGAAAAGTCAAGTAATAGCTTATATTTCCCACAGCTGGGAAAAAGCCTCCTCTATATTTAGGGTAATAGCACGACCCAGCGGCCCGTCTGGATTGGCATCACATATTTTCGAGATACGTTATTATTTGTAAAATATTCAGGTTTTTCTATCGAAGTTTTCCTTCATCTCTGAGAACCGGGCGTCGCGATTTGAACTCGGGTTGGTCTAATAAATTGGAATATGTATATTGAATTAAAAGAGAGCGCTTTTTGTATTATAATAGTAACAAAAAGCTATGTCTATTATCAACTGGCGACCCGCCCCGGCTTCGCACGGGTGCAATGTATTTTACATATAAACGTTACTCTTGAACCACTCTATCTAGTAAAAAAAACCGCATCATCCATTGCGTAGTTTTAAAGATCTAAGCATACATAGGGACAGACAGACAGCGGGACGACTTTGTTTTATACTATGTTATCAATAATTCTGAGCTACTGTAATATAAGGAACAGGCAAAGGTCATAGAACCCGCTGCGCCTGAAATGCCAGGCGCCCATAAATCAGCTGAAGACGAGCGGAATCCGGAAAAAGAGTAAAAATATCAATAGCAATAAAAAGGCCGACTGCCTGAGTATAAACATTAGATAGACTGTGTACATATGTATGGGGTAAGGCATTCTTAATACACGTAGCTGTATGGAATCGATCAATGTTTCAGACGTCGGATGCAGTGAGTGGAGTAAAAGGTATGTAACAATAGTAATTGTCGATATCGATAACGTCATCATACATATCGAAGTTGGTCCACCGAATAGATTAATACCATATTAATAAAGTATACTTATTTAGTAAGTCTTTTACTATTTAGTTTAACTGTGGTAGGGCCACGCAATGGTTTTCACTGTTGCATGAATGGGCAGGTCCGTCCGGGTAAGTACCACGACCTCACAGAAGGTCAGCGTAAAGTAGAAGTGTTGTACTTCTGCGTTTAGTCTGGTGAGTAAGATATCCAACCCTATAGGTGTTGCGAATGTCCATGGCCGGCGGTATTCACTTAACATCACGTGAGTTGCCTGCACGCTTGTCAACTTTTCACATAAAAAAAGTAAATTTAACCTATAAAAGAACATATTATGTGTTTATGGATGCAGAATATATACAATACAAATAAGAATAGTCATATCTGCCTCTACTTTACATTAAATGATATTTGTCAATTTTGCAACAAATTTATGAAATCTGCTTCGTCGAGTATTCGTTCTTCAACACGGCAATGCTTTACGGATTTTAATGAAATTCCACATAAAGATGAACAATAAATTGATTCGATCGTGTCCTCGATTACGAGCACGTCGAAACTAATGCACCACGTAATCGAGGCTCGAGGAGTTCGTAGCTGTTTCTTATTATTACCAGTAAACAATTATACGCAATTGACTCTCACGTCCCTCAGATAATGCATGTGTGACTGATACATGTGTGACTCTACTTGAATGGTCTGACATCCATCGACTTTCCGCACATTTGCACAGGTCGTCACTCCATATAGTGTGGACTAGTCCTACGCTATGATGGCCTAAACGAGCCTGCCACTCGAAAACCATTGTCAGATACTTTACATGAAGCTTTATATGAACAGTTCATTAGACTGGCACGCAAAATACCAACAAGTATAGTTGACTATTACGAAATATGCCTATACCTTTTTGTCTAACTACAAGGTATACCTAACTATACTACTAGTTAGACAAAACTTGTCTAACTACAAGGTACTTCGGCTGTTGGACGAATAAACGAGATATCCAACCCTACGGGTGTTACAAATGTCCATGGGTGGCGGTTATCACTTAACATCAGGTGAACCGCCAGCTCTCGCGTAAAAACAAGTAGACTGTTAAATTCTAAAATTACAGTTTAATTAATAGATAATATAGATATCGATATATAGAAGTTTCACATCACTAAACACTACACGAAAGCTACCGGCTAGATCATCGAGCATTTCGCGGGTCAACGACCGGCACACTGCCACACATTTTATCCCCCCGACAATTTTATATATGCGCACCCGACGAGCCGTTTTCAATCATAACCCGATCAATTTAAAGAGCAGATTTGGCGTCGACTGCTGGCATTAGTGACGGTTAAAATTATCGTTCAGTGCGCACAGCCGAAATGACGGAAGATGTGTCACCGGCCGCGTAATAATTTATTGCATAATGGCCTTAAAGAATATTACACAATAGGCCTCAAATGGCGTGCGCTCGCCCGCTCTCCAATCAGACAATTACGTGCAGACAGACTTACACCAAAAAGTCGAAACTCATTAAAATTCATTTACAGGAGGACCGATTGGATTTTTGGTGTTTTTGTTTTTTACGAAACCAAAGTTTCCGATTTTTTTTAGACAATTTTCCAAATTAGTTACATATTTCTTTTTATTGTTAGATTATATTATTAACTTTAAATTTTCTTTAACATGTCAAAAGAGCCGTGATAGCTCAGTGTCCGGGCGCTCGCCTTTAATTCAATATGCTCGAGCAAGCTGAGTTCGATCCCCGGTGCCGGCACCAATGAAGTTTTTAAATTAAAGTGCTGACTTATCACGTGCTCCGCGGTGAAGGAAAACATCGTGAGGAAACCTGCATATTTGACATAAATGACAAAAAAATATTTTTCGAAGAAATGTGAAGTCCGCCAATCCGCAGTGGGGCCGCGTGGTGGACTATGCCCTGATACCCTCTGCATAGAGGAGGCCTTTGCCCAGCAGTGGGACATGTATAGGCTGTTACTTTACTTTACTTTTTTAATATGTCAAAACTGCCCGAATAAATATAGAGTACCTGGAGGACCGAGCTATGCTCGGTTTTTTTAAATCGTGTATTTTGGAAATAAAAAAATAAAAAATAAAGAAAGCAATGATCTGGTATAGAAAAAAAAAGTAAAAAATTAAGTGTGTAAATGATCGTGACACGAACATTTACACACTCCGAGATTCCGATTATATATACATATATATATATATATATATATATATATATATATATATATATATATACACAAGAATTGCTCGTTTAAAGGTATTAGATTATTAAAAAAAATATGACTAGTGAAAATGTCGGAAGCTTACGATAGGGAATATGTAACAATTAAGATGACAAATGTATAATAAACCAAAATATATGGTTACTGTCGAAGTTTATTGGGTGATTTAACACATATTAGTAGTTACAAGCATATTTTACTTTAAAACTGCACTACATTACTTCGTTAAAAGTGTTCTACGGAACGTATGTAGGTACGAACTAAATTTATCAATCCGAGTCTACTATTTGGGTTAATTGCTGCACGGAAATATCTGAAGCGATTTTGTATCTTCAAAAAGGAAGAAACAGGAATAACGTGACGCGACAGCGGAAAAAAACAAACATGGCTTTCCGGAACACTGTCACTTTGCAACTAAGTTTATTAATGTATTGAATGTTTTGCATAATAATATCGATTTCATATTCATATAACTGCTGTTTATTTTTTTTTACTTGATTTTCACCAACTTCAATCTGTGTAGACTTTGAAAGAGACAAGGTAATTTAAAAATGCTCTTTTTATTACAAATTAAGTTTCTTTTTACTTGAATCATCTTTTTGTTTTTTCATTTTTTTTCTTACTTCAATATAGTTCTTATAACTCATGGTTGGAGTTTTAATGAAAAGTTGTGTAAACATTGCTGGTGGCCACAGATAAAATTAAAAATGATATACGATAAAATTAAAAAACTAACCGTCACTATTCGACGACCCGATTGGTGTATATTGTAGTGAATAGTGCACCCGTCTCTTGTGCCAGAGGGTGTGGGTTCGATCTCCACTACTCGTAAACTGTTTTGTAATGTACAGTGTTTTTCAAGTGTTTGTGTTATATCTATAAACTATTTTTATTTACAAAAGAAAAGTACATTTGTATATGTTTATTAATTACATAGTACTCATAATACAAGCTTTGTTAAGTTTCGGACTGGACAACGTTGTGTGAAAATATGTTCAGAAAATATTTATATCTATATTCATTGCAGTATTTTTGAAAGAAAATTCGATGCGTGTACATTTCGGAGTCATCGCTACATAACTACACATGACGTACGGACAAGAAAAGTACTAAATTAGAATCGTACACAAGAAAATCCCAGAAAATCCCTACATCCATAACATTTGTCACGTCGTATAGTCCATTTGGATGCGCGCGTCACATAAAATAGATCGGGGCTTGTTATTTTGACAAATTTAACCAATAAATCGCATGTAATTAATTGCGCGCTATTACTGCCCAGGTGACAACAGATTATATTATTAAGAGAGATGGTAAGAGACAAGATTTTAAATAGACATAGAAATGCCTTAACTTTTGGTGGTCGCATACACAAACATTGTATTTAATCATTATTATTTAATATATCTATGTAAATTAGTTATTTTGTTCTCTTATTATTTTTTCATTTTTTTTTGTAAATGGTGTTTTAGAAACGATTAATAAAGATTCTTCTATTCTATTCCATTCTATTCTATTCTAAATACTTAGGGATATTGTCGAAATTGGAGCTCAAACATCCGACCTATTGTGGGTAATATTAAATACCATTTTTGGAAATTTCGCGTTGATACATTGATGATGTAGGCTTCAGAGTTTTTGTCTGCTTCGTGTGTGGCTTTTTTACTAAAGTATATGTAAACATCTGTAAGTTTTACATGAAAAACGTCTACAATACAATTAAATAAAGTAGAAAATGCTTTGATACTGGGACGACCGCATATGAAGCTTGGAAAAAATAGAAAATCATCTTAAGTTTACTCAAATACCTATAGTAAAATTTGTTATAGTCTTAATAGTGAATTTGTCAGCTACGCCTACATGTACATACTCATTGGTTATGTTAGAAAGAGTAAGAGATATATATACCTGTCTCCGGTAGCCATTCCTGCTATCGGCAGTCCGCATCATCATGATCCTCGTCTCCGGGGTGATGTTCGTCATCTTGTCATCGATTCCCGTCTTCTCGCACATGGACACTGATTTCGAGGTCACTTATTGAACTCTTTAATAAAACTATAACCGCGACTAATAATTAATGTTGCACAGCTATGTTCAATTGACTTTGATCTTCAACATCGCTCCTCATTTCGAATTCCTCAGTTGTAACGTCTGAAACAAAAAGAAAATGGATTGAACTTTAGCGATGGTAGACATTTAAGACGATACATATGCAAAAATAAAATCAATGAACTGTCAATACAAACGGAAACGTAGACGAGATGTTTATAAACAGATCATTAATACAATTTGATGCCCACCGTCACCACTGGCGGCGTATGCAAACAAACGGCGAATAGAAACAAACAGAATTAAAAAGAAAACAATAAAACATCCAAACACAACACTCCAACGGCGTAACGAAGTCGTTGCGCTATCAAACAAAACGCGTCCAACATTCCGACGCAACGAAACACAAACAACCGCTTCTTGAGGAGTCAGAGATGGCACTGAGATGCCTCACAAAGTCGACACATTGATTGTCCATCAAAACAGTCAATTGTGCGCTAGACAATCGGATATGGAACAAAAGGCGAACGCAAAAACTCGGAATATAGAATGTACGTGGAATAGGAGCAATGTTCAAAACAATTGATGGAATGGAAACGGGAGATTGTTTAAACGATTCACGGTGTCTTCGCGATGAGCCTTTATTGAATGCACGTGAAATGCAGTAATCAGATAATGAATGCGGCACAGATATTATGTAACACGATGTAGAGACAAAAGTGGGGATAGAATAGTCGTGGTTAGAGCACGAATACATATTGGGAACCGGCAAGAGTAAAAGTATTTGGACTCTTCTTTTTGATGGGTAAGCTAAGCTGCGATTCAACCTCTTGAAGGTTGACAATGCAGCTACAAACATCATCAAGCAGCTGTAGCCATTGCACGAATGGACACCCGGCTATTGGGAACCGTAGACCATAAAAACAAGAGTAAAAAAGTATGGAGAAATTTGGTTAAAAAAGTATGAGGCTATTGGTGTGAGCGTGGTGACTCTCATATTTTTTTTTAGTGCACGGATAAAAGACGCAAACATTTTTTTTTTAATTCTAAACCGGCCAGCAAAATAGCTGCCTTTACGTTGTAATCGGACGGAAAGACGGACGCCGGCGGTCCAATAGAGTGGACTGCGAGGCGTGGTGATAGTGCACGGATGACGCAAATTAAAAATGCGGTAATGAGTTAATCTACCCCTTTGGTTGGCATGCGAGAGCTTTTTGTATACATGCAACATCATCATCATCATTTCAGTCATTAACTCCCTGTTGATCATAAGCTTCTATCATCATTTCAACCACTAAGTTCACTGCTGATTATAGGCTCGTTCAAAATCCGCTACAAAGCTCGGTCCCTATCCACCAGCACCCACGAAACGGTGGTGATTAATTTCCAAATCTGTTTAAAAACATATCAGTCAAAAGTTTACACAGTACTGCTTAAAACTTACCGGATATGCGTCACGCAAATTACTGAACAAACCAATTGTCCGTGTGTAACGAAATTTCTGGATTTAGTTCAATAATTATAAACACGCATGTACAACTATTTTCGCTCATAGACTAATATTGACGTAGCTCATTAGGCACGCGATCCAGTAAAATGCGAGCGAATAAAAAATATATTTCTATTAGTTTTTTTCGAACTAAAACTAAATATAACCCTGTTTCTATCTTTTAAGCTTAAAATGTCTACTAAACCGCGGCTGTGTTCTTTTCTCTGTCTTAAAAAATGTGTTCTTTTATCTGTCTTTCTACTTTCTTTTTTTATAACCTTTTCGACTGCTAACTTTCAATTAGCTTACAGCTCGAGGAAATTTCGTTTGATGCGGACAAAATCAAACCTAAACATAGATACTAGGTCAGTATAAATTAATTCGGAATATATTACAATTCGAAGGTACCGTTACGGACATTTTATTAGATGTTCGTTAGACGAAACTGTGCCTAGATCTAGGGGTTATCTCGCGTAACTTTCCCCGTAGATATCTGATAGATAAAGATCGTTTCCCCAGCGGTAATCTCGCTTGGTCCACTCCTGTTTATGAATTTTCTTATCTCGCTGCATAAAGTTTGCATTTTATATGGTCTGTGACGACACCTTATTAACTATAAACTATTAAAATATGCTTCGGTATAAAAATAAAACCCAGCTTTTTATAGCTCGATAAAATATGCGAATTATATGGTACATCAAATAATAAAATAAGTACGTATAGTAAATGTATATTAGGTAGTATGTATGAGCTTCAAGTAAGCGATGGTCTATTGGTTGAAATGTTGGATTTGCGAACTTATTTGCGGTTCGGTTCTAGGTTTACATTATTACGATATTTCGGGTGCGAGAAACAATGCCTCGCATTTCTGCTCGCTGTATGGCGCACGTACAAATTTTTAAGAGACCCGTATATACAGCGTGTCGTTACCATCGCGACAATAAATGAACACACATATTGGGGATAACTTTTTAAAGTTGTATTAAACATTTTAATTCTTTAAATATCAATATTTACAGAGTTATAAAATTTTGCAAAACAAAGAATTTTAGAACACCCTCACCTATAAAAGCGTAACGTAAAGTTCATTTGTAAAGGTCACAAAGCATATGAATGGGTTGAATGAATTTAAAAGAGACGAAACATAGCGTTAGAAGGAGAGGCTTGTAATACAACGCTGTGGCGCAAGTTGTATAGGATGTTATAAATTTTGTTTCTTTTTTACTTAAATAGTTTGTTTGAAAAATATTTTTTGTAATTATGAATTTTGTTTAACGTTAATATTTTTTTATGATTATTGGCACGTAGCGTTAGACGTGTGTTCATTTATTGTCGCGATGGTAACGACACGCTGTATAACAATTGTGTGGTTATACACACACTCTATGAATAATAAGCGCCTAAAAATTTCGAACCTTTTTTTACTTAATTAAGTTTTTTACATAATGTATAATATAGAAAAATATTTTTATAACAATTTAATGTCCCTTTTTTTAAGATTTGATGCAATGAAGGATACAACTGACATGATTTTTTTGCCGTTTTTATAGATCATGGTACGGGACACTTCGTGCGCGAGTCCGACTCGCACTTGGCCGGTTTTTTTCATTGTTGCCATAACCCCTCCAAAGTCCTATCATCTTTACATAGGTAGTATATTCCCTTGATTCGCTGTTCGACATGTTTTATAATAGCAACGCGGCATAATTTGTTGCCGTGTTGCGATCAAAGTGTTTATAAACTCGTGCACGTGTTGGCTGCAAAGTAAATCTTAGGGACGTTCGCTTCAAATAAACTAAATTAATAATCGAATAGGAATCGAAGGTCCTGACTTGAGAGGCGATAAATACGTTACCAATAAAAGTTGAGTGAAGACGTCGAGATGCGTCTAGAACGCATGGCCCTAGATTTGGGATGGAGAGAAAATTGAAAGGCAATAAATAAATACTTACGTAGAATTAAGAGTGCAAGAAGCGTCTAGAAAGCACGCTTTATATTTGAAATCGAGAGAAAATTGATGATAAACCATTGTTTTTCGGCTTAGGGATTTCTAACCTAGCCTAACCATCTAGTGCAGATATAAAGTAATAAAGAAGATAAGCAAAGAGAAGACAAAAATAACCGATAAAATATCAAATCTGAATTTGGAACGCAAGACTAACGAACAAAGACCTTACGAAAAACCGGGTCAATGGTGAGCGGTCTAGGATTATTTTAGTTTGTACAGCAAGCGACAGAGTGACGCGAACTGCAAAAGGAACCAAGCGAATATATTCCTAAAAACACAGGGAATAGAATCCAAAAGCCAATGCACGAAACGCCTCTCCGCTGTGATCCTGCGTTACGTGCGTACGAACGGAAGTTTAGAATGAAATATGGGACGAACAGCTTCATTTCGTTCATTCGATTTTTCACAGCATCAAAAGAAAATGTGTATATGTGTGTGTGTGTGTGTTAATTAAAATTCTAAAGGGGTATAAATGATGACAACGCATTTTCTTTGACACAATATGCTTCAACGCATGATTTTTTTAAAAACAACGATTTTAAATATTTAAAATGTATAGATAAATTGTCGAGCTGCCAGAATTCTAGCCTTACCCATCCGGGTAACGCCCAGACGTTGTAATGAATCATTAAATACTCAATATATGCGATGAACATAAATACACTACAGAACATATAAATGAAAAACTACCGATTATTATCCATCAAAGCGTATTAGTATCGCAATTAACAGGGATCTGTTATTACACATACGAATGTGATAAAACTATACTCTTAACTAAAAGTGGTTAAATAAGATGGTTAACTATTTTAGGGATTTTATCGCGTTTATTTTGATTTTAAGTACCAGATGTCGAACACTGAACAGTGTCCATGGTCACGGAACATTGAACATATTCACGTGAACACCATAAATCGACAGCTCCAAGTCCCTAAACACTTTTCCGTCACAAAGAGTAAACCTGTTCGTTTATAATTAGTGAAACTAATACAGAAATTGGTTCCTGATGCACACCATTTCGAATCGTTTCAGCCTACAATTCACACCGTCTGAATTTCCCGTTCAGACGATCGGAAGATCAGTTAAACTTGGCAGTAGTCTTCAAAACACTACAAAAATACAAGATGTATTTTTGTCAAGCATCGCAGTCAAAATACGAACAATTTTACTCTTTATTTTGGTCCCCGACATCTGTCGCGGAACGTTCTGTGAACTGCACAGAAGTAGCTCGTCTTTTCTGTTAAATAGAAATAGACCTATTGGCTATGAAGCTACCGCTCCTACAAGTAGATAAACATACGTAGACATGACACTAACGTACCGAAATTGAGCCACTCAAATTACGCCAATTGGTTTAATTACATTGCAACTCTATAAGACTGCTATATCTTTCTGTACGAGTATCATACGTTTTTTATTATATGAAAAGTTGCCGAATGAGCAGACGGTTCACCTGATGTTAAGTGA